GATTAAATTCTGGCATAATGATAAGGTTGAGTGGTACTAGTTTCGGAAATAAGAATTTAATTAATTAGACCGTGAGTAGTTAAATTAATTAACGAATATTATATATAAACATGGGTAGATAAACCGAGCAGATAAATCAAGAGCCAAATTGTGTGTAATTTGGGGGCTAAATAGAAATCAATTATACTATTTTAGTGGAATAAAGTATTGTTCATGTGTCACAAGTATAGGTGGATTAGAGCCTTAGAATTTTGTTCACAAATGAGGAGTCTTTATTTAGCACATCATCTTAGTCCCTGTTGTAGCCTATAAAAACACTACATCCCCTATCATGTTTCAATTCCCACACCTTTGTTGTTAACGTGAAAAGCTCAGCAAAATAGAGAGGAAAAACGTGAGAGAAACACGAGTCATCTAAGAAAGAAAATTGAAGACAATTCGGTTTTCTTTGTTCATTCACAAAATCGATCGGTGGTGAGACTTGAGACAGGGAGATTCATACAGCCGTCGCCCACAAAGATGAGCATGGAGAGGTGTCGAGATATACAATAGAAGATTGTGAGGTCGACCTGTTTGTCTGGTCCCGTAGACTGTGAAAGTCTGTATAGAGTCAACAATTTTTAACGGTAAGATTCGAATTTGATTGTTAGTTCTGCTGAAAGTAGGATTTAATTTCTTAGATTCTAAATCGATTCATGCACGATCTATTAGTGTATATACTTAAAGCTTGGTTTTATAAGTTATTTACACTATTTTTCTATTGAATGAGAATCATGTTTAATTAAACAGTTCCTGTTATGATATTTTACACCTAGATAATTATGGTTCCGAATAAAACTGTGTAGAACACAACTTGCAATTACTATGTCAGTTTTGGAGTGAACTTTGTAGTTTGGCATCAACACTTCAATGATGGGAAACATCCCTTTAAGCAAACCAAAGTTGCGTTCGATAACATTATGGACAGTGGCATGCCGTCTGTTAAATAACTTGCGAGCATTGGCAGGTAGTTGGGTAGACCCCAACCACTCTGGAAGATGATACCTTTCACCACGATAAGGTGTCATGAATCTGGAATGATCGCGTATCCAGAGTCCAACATAGTATTTACCTATGTAAACATAACCTTTTAATTATAGAAGGTGTGAATATGAATGTAAAATGTCATTAGTTATTTATTTTAAGTAAAGAAAAATATAAGTGTAATGGTCAATAAAGAATTACCTGGTGGCGGAAAGGGAAACAAAATCTGGGATTCGACAATATATCATTAAAAATACGCACATCGTTTGCGCTGCTTTCCCAGCCCGCTAAAACGAAAGTGAACTTAAAGTCGAAATCGCACGACAACATCACATTTTGCGCTAAAAATCTTCTCCTACATCTGTAGACCCATGTTGTCCATGCTGGTATAATATTGTCATCAATTGCGTCGATGTAGTCCTATGATTAGCAGTATATAATTTCAAGTTAAGAAGTACTTTTGTTAAAATAAAGGCTTTAGGACACATTCATATATCAAACGAATTCTCAAAGTATCGCAAAATGAGGCTAAAGTCCTGATTTTTAATCTATATCAAATGACATCTAAAAATTATGAAATTTTAACCACATACTCCTCAGCATTCATATGATTTATGAGAATTTTATCACAACAATATTCAGCTCCTAACTCGGTTAACAAAAATCGAGCATTATCGGTCCAAATTCATAAAATTCATTCACATATCAAACGAGCTCCAAAATTCACGAAAATTTAATCTAAGCCTCAAGACATCAAAATATGATTTATTCAATTAGAATCATAATTTTTGGATCAGCACTAGATATATTATGAATTTTTATCCATTTAACTTAATAAATCTCTATGAAATCATATTTACTCAAATCTCTGCAGCTAACATTTTTATAATAAATTAAAATTCATGTCTGATGCCATGGAGTTGAGTTTCAACCTTATACCTCAAATATGGACACAAAAGAAAAATTGGAAAGATGAAAGTGTTGTGAAAATGGCACGGCTGTGAAGGAGAGGCGCTGCGGGCTAGGGCGCGTGGGCAGCAGGACGCGATGCTGGCCGTGACTGAGGGCTGGGACGGCGGTTCAGGTCGCCGACGATGGTGGCTCGCCGGAAAAAGGGAAATGGTAGCCGTAAATGATGAAGATGATGATGCTTGAGCTTGTTCTTGAGTTGAAATGGAGGATGATGTTTAGATCTAGAATATGGAAGAGATGGTGGGCAAGGGTTGGTGGTAGGTGAAGAAGATGGAAATGGACTAAGGATAGTATTTATAGTGGAGAAGAAAACCTAGGGTTTTCTATATTGTTGGGCTTAAAATTGAACTAGTAGTCGGGATTTTGACTAAACGGTTAGAATCGAACATAGACTTAAGATTTAAATGTTCGACCCAATTAAATATAACGGGACTTTGACTAAATAATTTAGTCGGTTGATTTAAATAATAGTGGGCCAAGATTTAAAAATCGACATAAGCTCGATTTATAATTAAAATCGAACATGGACTCGATTTACTAAAATGAGTCGGAATAAATGAATGGGCTGATTCAAATAATAAAATGGGCCGGATAAAATGGACTCGCTCGTTTATTGGGCTTCGGCCCAACTTAATGAAATTTTCAATTATTTCCAATGCTCGGTTTTAACTTAAAAATTAAACCGATACTTGGCTAAATAAATCTGATTTTAATAATTAAAAATTGAATAAATTCTCCATGACTTAGACTTAATATTAATTACTCGATCTAATGCAAATAATAATAATAATAATTAAATGTATCAAATAAGGAAACTAGCTATTTATGAAAATAAAGTCGAACTCCATAAATAGTAAAAATATTCGGGGCGTTACACCTTCTTTGCTAAAGTTGTAAACGTCGACGCTGTTTCATCTCTATTAGCCACATTCCACTTTTGTTGTAAAGATCTCAATGACTCCAAAAGTGTTGTTAATGGTAAGTCATGGATCTCCCTCGTGGCGGAGTTAATTGCTTCTGCCGCATTGGACGTCATCGTAAATCTGTTTTTTGGACAATGAACCCTCGTCCATTTTTGTATTCCAATTTTCTCCAAATACGGAGGTACTCGAGGATCAAGATTTTTTATCTTCGCCATATGATGATTATAATCATCAATAGTGTATGCCCTCGCAGCTGCATTAAAGGCATCCTTAACAACGTTTGGTTCCTTCTTGAAATTTGTCCTCAAGTTGTTCTATATATGATAGGCACATAAACAGTGTGAAGCCTCTGGATATACCTGCATTATAAACAAAATATATTTAAATAATTAATATAAAGATTACAACAATATGAGTTTGTTTACTTACTGTATATATTGCGTTTAGGTATCCAAGAGGTCAGAAGTGTACCTTTGCCACACTTTCATGTCCATCAAAGACAATGCATAAACCTTCCCGAACAGTGAATGCTTCCCTCAGCTTTGAAAAGAACCAAGTGTACCATTATTCTCAGAATCAACAATGTAGAATGCCAATGGAAGTATATGGGAGTTGGCATCTTGACAACAAATTGTAAGCAGTATCCCTCCATAAGCCGAACTAAGGAAAGTTCCATCGACAACAATAATAGGTTAAATGATTCCAACCTTTAATTGAAGCATTAAGACACATGAATACGTACATGAAGTGCTGGTCTGATGTGGCAGACAATTTCACGACACTATGTGGATTTGATTCATAAAGTTTTTGCAAGTACTCGTGAATTTTACTATTAGACATGTCTGTATTACCTCGCACTTCTTCCATAGCTTTTCTCTTTGACCTCCATGCCTTCTGGTAAGACAACCCTATTCCATGTTGAACTTGCATGTCGTGTATTATGTCCCCTGGAACATAAGTTGTCTTCAAATTTGTCAATCTCGATCGAATGAACCCACTTACAATGTTGGACGTAGCCTGTCGTTGACCACTTGTACGTATCTCAAATGGACATGAATGGTTGCGTCCCACATCTCGAATCTTGAAAATGTTGGATTCCTACCCTCAACGCTTTAACATACTATTTGCATTCTGCACATATACACTTGACGTAGTACTACTTCGGACAAGACTTCTCCACTTTGAACTGGTATTGGTTTGTTATTGCATGGTGGCTGACAATTTCATCACTTCATTTTTACCTCTGAAAGTTTGGCCCCAAATCATACTTCCATCGACACCACATTCAAGTGTTCTGGAGTTGTTTATCTCCTGTTTATCTTCCGTATACTTTATTGTTTCCAGCATTGTAACTGCAACATGTTCGGCGAATACTCTATAAAATCCATCTATTTCAGATTCCCCCTGTGCCGATTCAAGACATCATAATCCTTCTATATCACACACAGATGGATATGTAGACATTGGCATTATGCTTCGAACGAGTGAGGTGACGCTTATTACTTGTTTTAAAACAACACACAAGGGCAACTTTCAATAATCACACTCCTTCGACTTTAATGAAATATAGAAATGTAGGCTGCTATCATCATCCACACTCATACGTGGATATCCACCTTTCACTTGATACTTCAGATCATTTGAATACGCGTTTACCTTCAGTTTATTAAAAACAATATCTCAGAACTGATTGTAGTTACATGATGAACTAATCAAAATACCTTCAACATCATAGTTCACGTATTCTTTTGGTAATGCAAGAATCCGTTGATATGGTAATCCCGTTTTCTAAATTTGAATTCGTGATTACCTGAATTATAGGTAACCACAATTGACACGTTTTTGCTTTATTTTTCTTTTTAATGGGTTTTCCGTTTTCTTTGCATGACTTTCGCCTTCTCGATGACATGTTCAAGATATGGAGAGAGAGAGAGAGAGAGAAATAGATCTGCTGATTGGAATCACAATCTCGTACAAATGTAAAAAAAATCACTACTTAATCCTCTTTTGATTAAGTTTCCCACGGTCCGCCTCCTTTCCTTTTGGATCTCCATCCCAATGGCCTATCCCGGAGGGGAATCAATGGTTCCATCCCTTGCTTCTGTTGTGAGGATATGGAATCCATCCCTCACCTTTTCCTCCTCGGCCCAGTTGCCTCAGCAGTATGGGCCAATTTCTACTCTCTCGCCGTTATCCCCCAAATATCCTCTGACAGCATTCAAACCACTCTCTCCCACTGGTTCAGTTTTGGGACTGGCAAGTCCCATCTATTCCACCTCATTCCCATTCTTATCCTTTGGTACCTCTGGTGTTCCCGCTATGACAAAAGAGTTAAACAAATCCCCTTCACTGCTCAACGCGTCTGCGATCGAGTTTGGAAACATCTTCAACTCATCGCCAATTCTTCCCTCCTAGAGGAGTCCTCCTGTTCTCGAGCCCCTCTATTGAGCCACCTTCTCTCCCCTTCCTTCTGGCCCCCTCGTCGCCAGAATCACCCTCGTATGCAGATTATCAGATGGACCACCCCCCCTGTCGACACGTTGAAGATCAATACAGACGGAGCCTCGAAGGGTAACCCCGGAGGGGCAGGAGCAGGTGGCCTTGCCAGAGATCATAGAGGCAGACCTATTTTTGCGTTCCACGACTACATCGGAGTTCAGACCAGCATCATTGCAGAGCTCCATGCTGTTTGGAGAGCATTATCACTATGCCGGGATTTGACTTATGACCAGGTTTGGATTGAGCTTGACTCTGAGGTTGTTATATCACTCTTTACGACGACTCCCGGCGGCGGCTGGCGGGAATAGACCTCATTCAGAAGATCAGAGCTCTATCAGATACCCTTGACGTCAGCTTCACCCACATCTACCGTGAGGGTAATAGTGCCGCCGACTACCTCGCAGGTTTCGCCTGCCGAGCCCGAGACTTTGTGCTATATGATGTCGCAGACTTACCTGGACCCCTTAGGGGCATCATCAGGATGGATTTAGAGTATCCCAGCATCAGACATCCTCATGACGACATCAGACCACAGGGCTGACGCCCATAATTTTAGCCAGCGAGAGATTCCATCTCCCTCCTTAGCTGGCCTGACTTCACCTTCACCCTCGGATTCTTTTCCTTCTTCTTTTCTTGTTAGGGCCCCTTTTGTTGGAGGTCCCAGTTTTTCTCTTGAGTCGATTAGGCTTTGTAGGGGATTTGCCACCATCACCTTCTCATTTGATATATATCTCCCNAAAAAAAAAAAAAAAACAAAAAAGTTTCCCACGGATTGTATATATGTAAATATATCTACACTGGGGGTTATGTATGCATTTTTCCCATTTATAACAAAACACGTTGCAGTTCAAAACCAGTAAAAAATTGGCCCAATTTATATCCAATCACACCTTGAGTGATTGATAGAGACTCTTAAAAAATACCTTGAAATCTATTACTATATAATATCGAGAAGAAAAATTATTTGAACAATCCGAAGAAAATCATTTCGTTTTCCCGCTTCAATATAGTGTTTTTCCCGCTTCTTCAATTCGTAAATTTTTTTTTTTGAATTTTTTCAGCCCATGCAATTAGGTAACCAATCAAATCGAATCTTTTAGCATTCAATTTGGTAAGGTGTTCCGATTTTAGCATTCAAATTTGATTTTACTTCCTTTTTTTATGCCAATCAATTCGATTTTTTTGGTTGTTTCAAAATTTGTTTAGATTTATATTTTTATTTTATTAATATATTTGAAAGAGAATCAATAAATGTTTATCATAACTTTTATTTTAAAAATAAATTTGAATAAGCATACCTTTTACTTTATATGAAAATCAAAATTACATATTTTAATATATTAATAAACGTTTATTATTTATTTTTTCCTTATGTGATATAATAGAGTTTCGGTATTAAATTTGTAAATTCAAACATTTAAAGGAAAAGATTCTAAACAATTTTTTTGGGTAAATTTTATTTTATCTTGGTTTTCATTATCACATTTCTAACAAACTAATTAGTATTATATTTTTTTATCTACATTATCTAACTGATTTTTTATGATACAATTAAATAATATCTTAACAAATTAATCATTTGTCTAACCGAATTTATCTCTCTAACAAACTTGCCAATTTTTTTAAAATTAAATTGGTATGATTATTCTTATGGAGATACTTATCAATATATTAAATATTTAGAAACTTTTTTTAAAAAATGAGTTATCCCTCCTTTTACTTTATTTGAAATTTTGACGTATATTTTCATATATATTATTATTTATTTTTTTACATGTAAATATTTATTATTTATTATCTAAGTGATAAATATTATTGATTTATCTCCTTAATAAATATTTATTATTTATTTTTTTCCTTACGTGATATAATGTAAATTTGATTACTAAATTTTTAAATTCAAACATTTAAAGGAAAAGACCACGAACAAATTTTTTGGTTACATTTCATTTTATTTTAACTTCCATATAATCACAATCCTAACAAACTTAGTATAATATTTTTTTACCCATTTTTATATAATCGGATTTCTTAAAATATAATTAATATAACATTTTAACTATTTAATCATTTGTATAACTTGATTTAACTCATTATCAAACTTGCCAAATTTTTTTTGGAATTAAAGAAAATTTGGAAGATTTTTATTTGTAAAATAATAAAAAATAGCTTTACTTTAAAGTCTGAATTATTTCCATTATTTTTTGTACGTTAACAATCATATATTTTGGATTATTGATTTAAAAAAACAAATCAAAACCGTAAGGTTTAATAATATTCCTTAAATAAAAAATATTGTATAAAAAAAAGTATTTAATAATATATATTTTTCATTGATTGTATTTATTTTATATTCATAATAGACGAGATGTAAAAAATATAAATAATTATATTTAACATAAAGTCTAAAAAATATTTAAAATATGAACTCTTCCGTGCATCGCACGGGATATACACTAGTTTATAAAATAAAATTAACTATATGATAGACTTTTTCGAAGTCATAAAATAGAAAATTTCAATTAAAGTTGCACTTTACTACACCAGAGTTGTGGATGATGTTTTATATGGCCTAGGGGCAAGTTTCTGTAATGGACTCCTACATCCCACCATCACATACGGGAAAGGAAACGTGAGGCTCCGATTATCTGCTAAAATAACCTCTCTTTTTCTTTGGAACACACGAAAGAAGTAAATTNAAAAAAAAAAAAAAAAAAGAAGAAGAAAAATGCTGCTTCTTCATGCTCCGGTTTCTCATATTCTGCCATTTAAATCCTCTGCAGCCCAACCAAAAGGTAGTATGTTTCTAAGCATGCACTACGTTTTTCATTTTATTTTCTTGGAGAAGTCAAATTGTTCGCTCGAAACTAAGCTTCACTTCTACTTATGAAGGTCTCACATATGTGGCTGGAAAATGTTTTATTGAATCTCTTGTTTCACTTTCGTCTCGAAAAAGTGTATGGACTTCATATACAGTTCTTACATGTTGCTCAATTTCCCCGAAAGCTTCTTCGTCCCAAGGTGAATTTGTTCTCTCACAATTATTAATACCCAGTTGAAAGAGTTACCTATTCCTGTTACCCAAGAGCTCTGCAGCTTTGTTATTGACTATATCATTACCCATTTCATTTTTCACTCACCGTTAGCATATCTCTTTTATTGTTGAGGAAAAATCCACGGTAAGCATGTGCCCGACAATTTATTCACGTTTTAAGTTATGACCATGGCTAATACTGACACTTACATGTGTCATCTTGTTAGTCACCTGGCACTAATTGACTTTTTTATTTTACTAATTCTGCTGGTTTATAAAGTGTCATTCAGTTGCTTAGAATGTGCTGCTGATTGTTTCCATTATGCAAAGGTCTGTGGTGTTGGAGTTTGAGCATGTAAGTTCTTTGTGGAATTATATGTTACTAGTTTCAGGGATTGGTAATATATTCTTATCAGAATGAATCTTGCTTATTAGATCAAGTCCGACTCCTGAAATAAATTTAAGGCCTATATATGCTGAATGCGTCAAGCTTGATCAATGCAGTCTAGAATCTTGATTGCTTTGCATTAATTGATTACTGTTGATTGTTGAGCTGCCTAGTGAGTAGCGAGTTGTGGATGGTATGGTACACAGGGCATGTGAATATTGAATGAGGTTTACAAGTGGAGATTAAAGATATAATCAGTTTGGTACATTTGAGAAGCTTAAAGATGAATGAGAAGCAGTGAGATTGAAAATGGTGTGGGGACTGTAAAATAACCCCGTGTTGATTTTGTTAAGCTGATCAGTTCAAAATAGTCCCATGCAGATTCATGTATATTAATGCAAATTGTAATAGTAGATTTCATCACTTTTTTCAAGATATATATAGATGACTAAAGATTTACTTGCTTGATGGGCCAGCAATTTCAGATTAGCAACTTTAGTATATTGCATTGTGCTAATGTTAGTTTTGTCATCACTAGTTGTATTTTTTTCATTATTCTTTAAATTTCTCTTAGGGGGTTCATCCTCATTTTTTCTTAATTTTCTCTCCTAAATAAAAGAGTGCGGAATTTTGTTATAGATGTATGTTGTCCTTGTTTGCAAATCAATGATTGGTAGTGATCTCATTTGCTTTGGAATGCAGCATTATAAGCTCATGAAACTTCAAAATGCTTGAATGGTTATTCGATATGCAAACACTATAAAATGAGATGCATGTATTGCTGTCTTATCAGATATTCACAATGAGCTTCTGGTGTTATAAAGGTTTCACGATACTTCCTTTAGAAAATTAACTTTCATAGCCTCTGGTTACCTGGTTAAGAAACAAAACTAGAAGTGACTGCTTTTATATTTGACAATGGCGTTTTTTCAAGTATAGTTGCATAATTGCAGCTGCTAATTCGGAAGTAGCTAGTCCAACAGCTGAGAGCGATGTCCTGAAAGCCTTGTCCCAGATAATTGATCCCGATTTTGGCACTGACATTGTCTCATGTGGATTTGTGAAGGATCTGAATGTCAGCAAGGATTTGGGAGAGGTCTGTTAATGAATTATATTTGAGTTCTTCCTTTATATGTAGAGATCGATAACTCATCCAACATTGTGACTTTTGAATATCTCAGGTTTCGTTCCGGTTGGAACTCACTACACCTGCATGCCCAGTTAAAGACATGGTAAAAGATGTATTTCAGGCACAGTATTATTTTTCTTATGTTATATGTTCTTTTACCACCTTTAGCTTAACTCAGGTACTAATTTACGAAATATTGCGAGGAATGATGTAGTCTTCTGACATTGTCTTCGAAATAGCTAGTTAACTTAAAGTTTTATGATTGGTTTTGGTTATTTATTTTTATCTTGGTGAATGTCTTAATTCCCTAGTAAAATTTGATCTGCTACACTTACATATAATTTTGCAGTTTGAGCAGAAAGCTCATGAAGTAGTTGCAGCAATTCCCTGGGTTGAAAAGGTTAAGGTGACCATGTCCGCCCAACCAGCAAGACCTGTGTTCTCTGGGCAACTTCCACCTGGTCTACAGACAATATCAAATGTAGTGGCTGTTTCAAGTTGCAAGGTAGGTTAATCTGTAATATTATATGCCTGAAATTTTTTTTATATTGATTTTGATTGCTGTAGTTTTCTCATTTGTCCCTTTCATTTTTACATTCCTTTCCTCAAAAGAATGATTTATCACACATTGGGTCAAACAAAACTTTCATGGAGGATATGGTGTTGTCTTAGTTCT